TACCATCCCTACCTACTAATCTCTGCACTACCAACTTCTGCATAATTTGTTTTTGAACCTAATGACCCCCCAAGTATTGAGACCAATTTAATAGATAAGCAGTTTACGTGTTAAGTAAAATATTTAAGTTCTCTTTATGTTTTTTGATGATTTGTTTTACCATCAATTAGTGATCAACATTGAAACAAATAGTAGTTGCAGTATTGAGTTCGCTGGTGTTTTTTTTTTTTGCAATTCTTTGAATGGCTCCTATACCATACTCATGTTGTTCTTTTGTGTTTCATTTAGATAAGCGAGAAGGACACGGCATGGTTTGTCAAATTTTGTGTTCCGTGGTGTAAGCACTGGTAAGTCTTTTAAAACTAGCCTGCTCTAGTATGTCGTCTTGTCCTTCAGATGAAATGGTGGGTTTGTCTGGGATATACAGGGATGACTAAATTATCAAATGTCAGCAGCATCTGCTTCCTAGTAAAATCATGAATTGGTAGTAATCTGTTATAACCATTTGGAAACTATGCTGAAATGTTTGTCTTCTGAAAAGACAAGTGCAGCTTAGTGTTTATTGCTACATAAGTCTACTATCAGTATCTAAATGATAACCAATTAGGGCAAAAATCTTTGAAAGGGATGCTTGTAACATGGTTCGAAGCCATTGTTACCGTCTCCGTGTTAAGCAGCATCGAACATTCTTCTGTTAGCAATGCACGTGAAGAATCCTCTTGGTCAAATGCAGGAAAGTCTAAAGCACGTTTTATATACATGCTAATTACCATTATTAGCATATTGCACACTTTCTTCTTTTTGTCAACTCGATTTGGATCACTATGGAGCCAAGGAAGGTGTTTCTTTCACATAGTCAACTACTAGGAGGGGTGATTTTGATGGTGGAAAACCCAAACCTTAGGAAACATAAAGTTGTTTGCATTAGTTGGTGTTACCTATACAAGGAAGCAGGGGAGGATGTGGATCATCTTCTGCTACATTGTAGTCAATGGAGAACTATCCTCCTCCCTAATTAAAAGCTTTTCATAGGAGGCCTTCACAGAGAAAACTTTGTTATTATTATTGTTTTTTGATAGGTAAGGTAGAAAACTTTGTTATTCCCCAACTCCCAACTCAAAGCCTCAAGTCTACCAGCTGGCTCACCACACTTATGAAGTAAAGCAAGCAATCTTTAAAACTCATTCATCTCCCAATCTTGGAAATCCCTCCTGTAACTCAAGTCTCAAAACGTCCTTCCCCCTTAGATTTCCCCTGATTTGCCGGACAGATAAGTCCCTTTGGCATGAAACTCTATGCATATATGGGAACTCATCCTCTAACACAAGTCCAATGCCAATGTCATGGTTTCTAGTGGCAATACATCGTGAACCCATGTATATATCATCTGCTAATACACAGCCAAAAGTCCCCCACACCACTTATGGCTCCAAAAATTTACTCTTCTCCCATCTCCAACTCTAAAGAAATGTTACCATAAAAAATTTTCCACCCCTTCATAATATTCCTCCACACTCCTCACTTAAACGGCATAGTGACATCATTTGTTCTCCACATATGAGTTCTATATCCCACTTGATCCATGAAGGCTTTTATTGAACTTCCAAATTTAAATTCCTAAAGGTGCATTGATGCTCTGAACAACTTGTAGTGCATGAATGTGGCTTGCCTCTTCACTGCAAGGTCAGGCATATTGCCAATAAGTAGATAAAGTCGTTATATCATTAAGTGAGTGATATAATTAATGGAAAGGATGATGACTGTTTTACTTCTGATTTTTATTCATATACATCAGAATTTTAGTCATTGATATGTTCATTGCTGTATTTTCCTCGCATGAGTCTTCTGTTTTGCTAATTCTGAAACCTTTTTTCAGCAAGAACCTGGGAACACTTTGGGATGATTTGGGGAAAACAATGGAAGGGGAGGATGAGATAGAGGTGGGACAAGTTGATTGTGGTACAGATAAACCAGTGTGTAACAAAGTTGATATCCATTCATACCCCACATTCAAAATCTTCTACAATGGAGAAGAAGTCGCAAAGTACCAAGGTAGAAGGTTTTTCTTTGAAATTTATCTTAACTATCTCATAGTCGATTTAAAATATCCTTTTTCTTGTTTCAAATTACAAGGATACGTAATTTGGATTTGTTTTTCTACTCAACCAATCTGTATCTGCTTTTCTGAATTGTCCTGTGATTATATCAGTTTGTGTAGAAGATAATATTGAAGTTAGTGCAACAATATAAGCGTTACATATCATGCTTTAAATTTATTTTTGTTTTTTTAAGTGAAGTGAATTCTTGAACAAGATAATAGTGTAAGCCTGTGTCGAACATATTTGGGACATCTAAAACTGGAAAGTTTATCATATGAATTTGGTGGAGGCAGGTTTTAGCCATTTCTTGCTGAGTGCAAGGAGTGTTTAGTTATCAAACATATTTGGACATCTAGTAATGGAGCTTGTGGGCCATGTCAACTTACTCTTAGGACGCCTGTGATGAGATTATGAAGCTGAATGTTTTGCTGTAAGGTCAGCCACATGAAGAATACTAAAAGAAAGTGGATAAGTAGCTGAAATGTTTGGTTATATAGCAGCCACATTTAGTGATTTATGTGTCTAGAGTGATGTTTTTTAAAGGAAAGTTGATCAGATTTTTGTAGATAATAATTGATGTGTGATCTAAGTCTGTAACTTCATAGCGTTTTACTCTTGCATTTCTTTCAAACTGTTCTGAATACCGATTTTCTTAAACCGAGGGTCTATCATAAGCAACCTCTCTACCCCACAAAGGTAGGGGTAAGGTCTGCTTACACCCCACATGCCCACCTTCCCCAGACCCTACTTGTGGGATTTTACTGAGTATGTTGTTGTATAGGTCCGTAATTGAACATTTTAAGTCGGTTGTTTAGCTTCTATTCATGCTAAAATTCAAGGTACCGTGTCATCTTTCACTATTTTATTTAGGTGTTAGCTCGCAGCTCGCCGTTTATGTGCTTGTGTCACCAAGTTTTGAATTTATAGGATGTAATAAGCTGGTCTCACCACTGCAGTGCCCATTAAACTTTTATTTGACTGGGAATCCTGTATTTTACATCTGTTGCTGTAGGACCGAGGGATATTGAATCGCTGAAAGTTTTTGCGCTAGAAGAAGCAGAGAAAGCAGCAACAAAAGCTGAAGCAGATGATGATAAAGAGTTATAACTTACTGTCAGGTAAACTCTAAATGCCTCCGAGTTTTGCATTTCGATCTAAAATCATTTCATACAAAGTTGAAAACCACTGCATTCATCCCTTTTTGGTCCAAATCCCCAAGTGTCCACTGAAATGTGGTTTGACAATGACAGGTAACAGGTACATTTTTGCTATGTTTCAGGGGAGGGAGTGTTTCCTAAGCAAAATACTGAGAAGATTAGAAGAACGGATGAAGACTACCACCATCTTCTTTTACAGTGACACTGTACTGGTGATGGCTTCTTTTCTCCTAGTTTTCTTGTCTAAGATTTTGTTGAATCCGAGTAGGCTGACATTGGCAAACGATGAAGGAGTTGATTTCTTAAATGATTAATGTAAAACTCCGAAGATACTCGAAAGGAGAAGAGGATAACAGAGATGTTAGATATGAAATTTGTTACTACTATTCTTTTTGGCTAAGAGTAAAGATGTCATATTTAGCTAATGCAGCTGTAATGACAAGACCAAAAAATATAATGCTTGCAAATATTTTGAAATTTCATGGGTCCCTGATCGTTATGCTTTTTCAAAAGGAATTTCGCTAGCTTAGGATCATTATAATTATGATCGTTGTTCATCGAGTTTCCTGTTGCTAAATCACCAACTTCTTTGACCTTCCGGCACGGGGGCAGGAGTTGTCCTCCTTGCTGTTGTTAAGGTCTGCGTACACTCTACCCTCCCCGGACCCCACCTAGTGGGATTTCATTGGGTATGTTGTTGTTGTTGTTGTTGTTACCGTATTAGCATTTTGGAATTAAACTGTAAATTAAATTCCACAACGTTTGTAAATACTGTTTTTCAGTTCTTGTAATCGAAAAATAGATATATTGTTATAGGGTTTGAATTTTCATAGGTGAAACTTCAGAATATTATCATTAAATTTCATTTGTAAAATTAAACTATCGCGATACTGCTTATTTTTCAAAGACGAGATCGAAAAGTAGTCAATGAATGCTATTCCGGATCAATATGGGAGCAAAATGTGCATTCATGTCTCGTATGAGTAGACATGAATAACATAATGTTTTCAAAAATACACACAATATTACTAGGAAATAGCATTAAAAAATCAGAATGTTTTGGTTTTGGTTGCGTAAGGTTTAGGTTTGATTAATAAACATTAACAATGTCAATAGAGCACGAAATAAAAGATCAGTTCGATGCACAAAACATCTCACACTATATTTGTACGATCATACGACAACTAAATTTCAATATCCTTTAGAATGTTTCTCCTATTATTTGCGGTGTCTTTATTGTTTTTGTCTTTTTCTTTTTAAATCAACTCTGTTATATGTTACCTAAACTGTGGGTCTTTTAAAAACAATCTATCTATCTTTACGAGGTAGGAGTAAAGTCTACATACACTTTATCTTCTCAACACCACACCCATGAAATTTTACTTCTTGTTGTTACATTATACTTTTATAATACTAATAATTTTAAGATTAAAATAAACTTTAACTTATGAGATTATATTGAATTTGTTGATATGGTAGTAAAATAATTTCAAAAAAAGTGTTGGAATATGTCAACATCATAATGTCATAAAAAATAAAAATAAAAAGAGAAATGTGGACATAGAATGTAATGTTTAGACTTGGAGGCCAAGTAAATTTGATCAATTGCATTCAAGACATGATGTTAAGATGTTTGACTTGTTTTTTTTCCTATTTAAATATTAATTATTTTATTTTTTAAAAAACGTAAACCGACTTAAGCTCACTCATCCTCCTCTATATATATAGAACCAATAACCTTTTGTAAACTTAAATTCTCCTTCATTTTTCAACTTATTATATGTGCTGTGCTTCTCAAGGTTAGATAAATGATATTCCATCACTCATTTTTGCTTAGTTTATGTATATTTCATGCAAATTTGTTCCATGATCCATCAGTTTTTTTTATAAAATTGATACTAGCTAGTGTAATTTGATGCAAATTTGGTTGATGTTTGCTGAGTTTCTATATATTTAGTACGCTTTCCGATCCGTCCCATTCTGTGTGACCTTTTTTTTTTTTTTGATCTGTCCCAAAAAAGAAATGTCACTTTATTATGAGAAACAATTAACCTTTAAAACTTTATTTTTACTCGTAATGAATTGATTTATAGCTATACAAATATTTAAAGATTTTTTTTGAACCACAAATATCATTCTTTTAAATATTGTGTCAAGTTAAACTGTGCCACATAGGGAGTACTAGCTTTGATTAGTTTTCTTGCAAATTTGTTCCATGATTGATGAGTAATTTGATTCATGTTCATTATTGCTCTGTTTCTATATATTTGATAGTAGCTTTGATTAATTTAATTCAAGATTTGTGACTAAAGTTCATTAGTTTTGTTCATCTTAAATGTCTCATGGTTCCTGGAGAAGAACATTTGCCTTGTAGATTGTTCGGTCTTTGTGTATATTGTTTGATCATCGTTGGATTATCTGTTTCGTTGATTGGCTACCAAAACTCGATTTTGATGTAATCGAGTTTTCAGAATTTCTCTGTCTGTGTTTTGATTGAATTGTCAGATTCTTATAGACATAGAACACAAAACTTTTAGATGTTTTTGACATTTGTTTCTATTGTTGACAGACTTTTAGTTGATCAACATGGGTAAAGAGAAGGTTCACATCAACATTGTGGTTATTGGCCATGTTGACTCTGGAAAATCGACTACCACTGGTCACTTGATCTACAAGCTAGGTGGTATCGATAAGCGTGTCATCGAGAGGTTTGAGAAAGAAGCAGCTGAGATGAACAAGAGGTCATTCAAGTATGCCTGGGTTCTTGACAAGCTCAAAGCTGAACGTGAACGCGGTATAACAATTGATATTGCTTTGTGGAAGTTTGAGACTACCAAGTACTACTGTACTGTTATTGATGCTCCTGGTCATAGGGATTTCATCAAGAACATGATTACTGGTACCTCTCAAGCTGACTGTGCTGTCCTGATTATCGACTCCACGACTGGTGGTTTTGAAGCTGGTATCTCTAAGGATGGACAGACTCGTGAACATGCGTTGCTTGCTTTCACACTTGGTGTAAGGCAAATGATTTGCTGCTGCAACAAGGTTTGCTCTTTCTTCAAGTGTGATTCATTTCCCAGTACTTCCTTCATGCCCAGTTGCCCAACTGAAGTGTGGACCGGGAGCCCAAATGGGGATGGACCTGATTTTGGTATATATAGCATCTGGACCTAACTCAACCCCAAATGCTAGCTATATAAGCAGATTACGAGTTCATTCCCCAATGATTGGGACTTTAACCTACTCTAACTGATGTTAACTGAAGAATGATGTTTCATGTTTTGCTAATATGTTTTTATTCCTTGTGTAGATGGATGCTACCACACCTAAGTACTCCAAGGCAAGGTATGATGAAATTGTGAAGGAAGTGTCTTCTTACCTTAAGAAGGTTGGTTACAACCCTGACAAGATCCCATTCGTGCCCATTTCTGGTTTCGAAGGAGATAATATGATTGAGAGATCAACTAACTTGGACTGGTACAAGGGTCCAACACTTCTTGAGGCACTTGACCAGCTTAATGAGCCTAAGAGGCCCTCGGACAAACCCCTGCGTCTTCCACTTCAGGATGTCTATAAGATTGGGGGGATTGGGACTGTTCCTGTTGGTCGTGTTGAGACTGGTGTCATTAAGCCTGGTATGGTTGTGACTTTTGGTCCTACTGGTCTGACTACTGAAGTTAAGTCTGTTGAGATGCATCATGAAGCTCTTCAGGAGGCACTTCCTGGTGATAATGTTGGTTTCAACGTCAAGAATGTTGCGGTTAAGGATCTTAAGCGTGGATTTGTTGCTTCCAACTCCAAGGATGACCCTGCTAAGGGGGCTGCTAGCTTCACCGCTCAGGTCATCATCATGAACCATCCAGGACAAATTGGAAATGGATATGCTCCAGTGTTGGACTGTCACACCTCCCATATTGCTGTCAAGTTTGCTGAGATCTTGACTAAGATTGACAGGCGTTCTGGTAAGGAACTCGAGAAGGAGCCTAAGTTCTTGAAGAACGGTGATGCTGGTATGGTTAAGATGATTCCCACCAAGCCCATGGTTGTTGAGACCTTCTCTGAGTACCCACCATTGGGACGTTTTGCTGTGAGGGACATGCGTCAAACTGTTGCTGTTGGTGTTATCAAGAGTGTTGACAAGAAGGACCCATCTGGAGCCAAGGTCACCAAGGCTGCTCAGAAGAAAAAATGAATGGCGCAGTTCAACTCTGGAGTACCCAGAGATATCGATATCTACTATAATAAAGTGTGTTACGAAAACTTGCTATGCTTTACTCTTCCTGTTCATGTTCAGTCTTTTATGTTGTTGTTGGGTTCTTGTTTTCTGCCTTGTATGTCAGGTATCCTTTCCCAGAACTGGGTGCTTGACAGACGGTGGCAAAAGACATAGTTCGAGTCGTTTGGTTTTTCTTTAGAGGTGTCTTGGTCCATCCAAGACGTCTCTAAAGATATGTTATTTGTGTTTCTTATAATACGTAAATCGTACTTATCTGTTTTTGTGCTGATTATCTTTTCTTGCATTATCCATCCTGTCTTTTCCCTTGAAGTCTCTGGAGTTGTGCGCAACTCAACTATTTCATTGAATACTTGCTACCCGTTATTATTAAAAAACTCCGCTCACTAAAGCTTAGACAAATGAGAAAAGATTACCTACCATTATGATCATCCACTAATAATCAAGGTCACTTAGAACACAACATCTCTGGATAAATATTTAGAAGCTGACTTAGACAAATTGAGGTTTCCCATTGTATCAGGCAACAACCTAATAGGTAGCTGCAAATACACAATTTTTGGGTTCTGGGGACAGCCATCAGGTGCATGTCGTATACTCCAAAAGTAGTGCATATTTAGAGAGTCGACATGGGTGCAGCAACATTTTGGACAGTCCAAACAACATAGATATACTCCCACTGTCCCACATTGTATAAAAGCTATGAACCAAGAAACTGAACCAAAAGTTGCTAGGAGTATAGTATTTATCTTGAATTCCTTGTATTTTGGTTACAGAGAAATAGTTTGGGTACAAAGAGGTTTTTCCTGACATAAAACTTGAGCAAAACAAAAACAAGAACTCTGTATGCAACAGCCATAAGAAACAATACTAACAAATTTTTCCACTTAGAGTTGCTATCAGCAGATATGTCATATACATTTTGCAAAGCCTGATTACCAGATATGGTCCTCACCTGACCAACTGCAAAAGAGGTCTCGATGTACTCGTTCTCCAAGAGCCCCTGAAATAAAGACGCGATTTTAAGATATTTATAAGAGATGACCACCTAGTGATCAAGTACATGCATTTGAAAGAATTTATAGCCAATTGTTTGACCATTTTTGAACTTGCCTGGATAGAGTAAGTATGAAAAGCTATATAAGAAATGGGGTACATCCATACTGGTCCTGGCAAAGAACTTCGGATTCTTAAAAAGCCAGCAGAAAGCATCATCATCACCTGAAATGTAGAAGACCACAGCCGTTGAATGGAAGAAGAAAGATGTCAAATCAAATAAATCCTAGACTAGGGAAGATCTCATGTGTAACAACCCTATAGATCAGTAAAATTGCAATACTAGTTTTTCTTGAAATATGTAAACTTCATTCGTGGTAAATAATATCTTCAATACATCAAGATTTAACACGAAACTCACTTGTATGGAGACAAAAATCAAGATGCTCCAGAAGATGTCTTGCCAAATGGAAGTAACAGCGAGTACCAACCCTTCATTTACCAATAGGAATGTGAAGAAATTCAGCACGAAATACATCAGCATGCTGAACTCATCCCGCAGGCCAACAAGAAAATAGAAGACGAGACTTGATGAAATGGAGATGAGAAACAAGAAAGGTATGCTGGCAAAAAGCTGCCCAAGTAGGAAAATAAATGCACCAGAATGCTGGTTTGATTCTTCACATGCGTATATCTGCATGTAATAGAAACACCCTGATTAGTCTTTGTTTTTTTCCTGTTTTCTTTTGAGCTGGATGATCAAAGAACAAACTGGCCTACACAGCATTCAATAACGAAACCTAACTTTTGCAACAGAAAGTAAAAGATAAATAGAAATCAGTGACAGATTATATAGTTACCTTACCTCCATTGAAGGAAAGGTTGGATACATACTATACTAACTATCCTGTTTCCAGGAAGAATAGTCTCTAAGACCTTAATGTCACAAGGCCTTCAGCCTTACAATATTTTCATGAATCCACTCACATAAAAGCAATATTTCCATGAATCTACTCACATAAAAGTTGCTTTCAAGATGCAAGTCCAAAAGCATTCTTTTTTGGCCTGACGAATTTGAGCCAAGAGTTTGACTTAAATGCAACATGCTGGGAAAGTTTATACTTTGTAATTGAGTATAAGATAATTCACCTGACGGAGCATTGCAGTCGAATACATTCAAGTACACATTCTTAATATATATCCCCCAAAATTGCAATACAAGTATCACATGTAGACCTCGTAACTTCACAATTTAAGCGATCATTTAGTTTGCATAGAGATGATCAGTCATCAAAAAATAAAAGGGTGGAAAATAACCTCTAGTGATTCTGATATGGGGATTGAAACCGGGAATAACAGAAAACTATAGAATAGGTTCTCTAATACTGAACTTGATATTCCAGGGAATTGAAGATGGAACTGGATTAGAGATTACACCGTCTTGAGTCTTGACAAGAATGGTCATGGCCTACTAAGCAACAATAAGAGAATGAGCACTGTCTATAGTTTCCCTATCATGTGGCCTCTTATGTTCGAAAACATGCATCTCTTGCATTCATTTCCAACATGAAATCACTATATAAGCAATAAGTTTCATAGAATCATTCATGCATGTTATCCAAAAGAATCACAAAAAAGCTATAGGGATCACCTTAATTTCTTTCATCTGTGCAGGTACACCGGCAATGCTCAATAGAGAGGTGAATGAAACAAATACAAAAATTGCTGCGACTCGTGTCTGCATCACAATAAAGATGTCAATGTTTAAATCAGAAAAATAAGGAAGATTGATCGCAAAAAGTTATCATGAGAAGAACATCTAACATCATAGTGGAGAAACTCAGTCCATAAATAACCAAACAATCTTGGATACATGCATTTCTTGCTGTACATAATTTCCTCTTTTCAACATATAACACAAATAAAATCAAAAGTTGCCTTGGCAAACAAAATTTACCATTTTAGGTAAATAACCAAACTGCTCAGAAGATGGCATGCCCACACATTATATAGCATACTACTTAAGTAAGAAATATCAAAGGAGAAAATAGGCATATCTAATGTCTTGATGGTTATCAGCTTACCACAACAGATGATAAGGTATGCCCCAATCCAGAAAATACAGTACCGATGCAAAGTGCGAGAAGCATATATAGAATCAACCTAAGCCAATAGTATTTCCACTCCCTTGACATAATCAATAAGGATCTCCAAGTCAACACTGCAACTCGTGTTAAGTTGCCTACCATTCCCTTGCTTTTGAGAGATGGACCTTCCTGAACAACATAGCAATAAATCAGGGAGTATATTGGAGTTCAGGTGCTAGAAATAATGTTTGTTTAAAAAACCTAAAAATCTTACTAAGTTCAGGCGCTAGCAATAATGGTTGTTTGATAAAGCTAAAATCTTACTACTAATTTAGGAAGAAAAATACTTTAGTTAATTATTTAAAACTTTAAAGAGTTCTGAGGGAAATAACAAAATTTTGAAGTGACTAAGATGAATGACCAGAGAGTGTATAACAATTGCATCCTTCAAGGGTTTTGGTCATTCTCCGGACAACCATTATTTCTTAATCATCAAACAGCAAACTACATCTTAAAGAAGTACTCACTCCATTCCAACCTACACAACATAGTTTGACTTGGCACGGAGTTTAAGAAAGAAAGACTTTTAAACTTGTAGTCTTAAACTTGCCATGGCATTTATGTGGCCAGAGAAACATGTCATCAAGCGTAAAATGAAAACATTTTAAAGTTGAATTATTTCCAAATACACAAAGGTGTCATTCTTTTTGGATCGGACTATAAGGAAAAAGTTCCATATAAATGGAAGGAAGGGAGTAACTGTTTGCCACAATAATTTCATCGTCAACTGAATGAATTAAATATGTTAGCTCCCAAGAATGAATTAAATATGTTAGCTCCCAAGATATGTATTTTTTTTTTTGAGGATACAAGATAAGTATTTATATTTCACAGGTAGGAGTATTCAAGTTCTGTATGAAGTTAATAGTGACAGATATCAGATCTCCTGTAAAAACATACCTTCTCAGTGAGCTTCACTATCATAGTCTCGAGAGAAACAGCATCTGCCGACGATTTATAGGTTGCTTCAAGGGTACGTATAGCAACAGCAGTATCCATGTTCACTGCTGACAAGTCTCCGTGGTCATCCTGTCCAGAAAACAAGTTATACAAACTTAAGAGGAAAACCATAAATTCTTTTTCATTTTCTTGGAGGGGAAGGGTTGTGAGGGAACAGTTGGACACTCTTATGATAGCTTTCCTAAACGATGACATACTCCTCTTTAGAAGAAGAATTGACTCTAATCAATAGAACAGCAGCATGAGTGAGTCATGCATGATGATGGTAGTATATTCCACAAAAGTAGACCGTAGATGTTCTATTCATATTGTTAGCTAACAAACCAGCAAGAATCAGTATGATTGAGTTGCTAAGGCAATAAATTAAGGAGTCCAAACATTTTCAGGAAAATACCTGCCAACTTTTGCACATCGCGATGATCCTGTCAAACTCTGTGTTTATGGCACGTAAGAAATGATCTGAAGGACTTTGCATGATTGGGCAAGGAAAACCAGCATTTGAAAAGTGCTTCACCATCACCAAAAAATGATGTCAGTCTCTGACAGTTATTCTTATCAAGAACCTAATACTGTGTAAGAAAACACAGCTTCTAACCGACCCCCACCCCCAAATAAAAAAACAAAATCATTTCCTTCTTTCCCCCACAACCCTGTGATTGTGCAATATTAGCCCTTGGGAATAAGTTTTGCCCCAATAATTCAAATATATGATTTCCTCTTACCTAGAAACTAGCAAAGTAAATGTTACTGATTTCCTCCTATTGATAATGCTACTATATACTGAGATATAGACAGCTTTGACCAGAAGATGCTTGTACATGACCCACTTTTGACTACTAAAATCCAGATACTCAATGTTGCAAAATAAGTTTCAACAGGGACAATCTTGCATCCACATCCCAATTCTAAGAGAAGCAGGCAACAAAATGTAATAATCCTAACTATGGGAAACTATGTAATTCAAAATAATTACCACCCTTAAATGAATGGTAATACATAAACCATTTAAGCCTCAACTACAGGGATCACTTTTATCCTATAGTAAGAGTGTCATCTGAATTATACATTTGGCTTCTTAGTTTTCAAATAAACCACATCCCTCAATTATCTATGAATCTTACATACAAGAAACGAGCAACTAAAGCCTTATCACAACACCAATTTGTAT